CTGTTTTCAAATTTATTATCCGAGTAAAATAACTAGATACGCTGTACATTTTTTTTCAATTCTGACGGGCCGAAATAAAATATTTTCACGAAGTACTGATCCTCCTCTTCAGGGCCATCATTGGCGGAATGGCTGTGACTTTGCAAATTTTTCATTCAGAATTTTGTCAGAATTTTGTCAGAATTCAGATTCTTACCCTGTTTTGTAGTCCTTTTGACAAGAAATTATGGCGTTAGAATCATGACGTTTTTTCTCCTTTCGAGATTTCAAAATTTTTACACATTTTTGCCCTACCGGGTCATTTGAGGAGTTACCAAATACTTTAACAAACTTTAGCGGCTCCGACGGGAAATTTGGGACATTTTTTGGTCGAATGCGAAAATGCGTCTCCTTAGCCAATTGCGGGGGAAAAAAATTAAAAAAATGAAAAAATTCCTATGACATGGAAATGAGAAAGAGACAATTGTAAGTTACCTTTCCACATTGCTTGCATTTGCCCTTCTGGGAGCGGCGGTGGACCCAGTGGTGATGGATGCAGGTCTGCTCGCGGTACTGCCGCACCCCCACATCGCGGAAAGTCGGCTTGCACGTGAAGTGGACCCGATCCATGAGGATGTTTATGCAGTTGGCATGCGCCACGATCTTGCACGCCGCGCACTTCATCCGAGCACCGTGTTTCTGCAACAAATCAACACATACCTCCGTCAGATCCTCATCTTCTATCAAGCAAAAATCAGTGATTATAATAATTTAATTTACTTCCAAGACAATTCTTCTTACTTTTCAATTGAAAGAAATGAAATGTCTACAGCATGGAATTTGATTTCTTGATACATTATCTTTAAAATTCTAAAGAGTGCACTTTTGACATTTCATGTGAAACTGCAGCAATGGAACTGTACACAGTGACACTCATTGGACAAAAAAACTACACGTAAAAAATCGTAGAGTAACCATGTTCAAGTTATTTAAGAGATGAATGGATTCAAAAGCCGACGGGTGCACGCGAAGAAAAGAGTGTTTATCTCTGATTGCGACGTTATGCAACACTTTTATGTTTGATGTTTAATCAATGTTTTTAACAAGCTACACACAGTTTTTCTGAAAAGTTTCCCGCAAATTTTCCTAAATGATCTCAAATAAAAGCATCGAAAATTTCGACGCAATATTTCCGTTCATTCTATTTTCTTTTTATGTAAACGCATAACCAAAACTAGATTAAATATAATCCGATGTTCTGGATCGATACAACCGGGATACATATTATTCCTTTAATTATGGTAAAACCAGGAGCAGAGAATCAAAAATGAATGGCGCTAAAACGCGTTTCATGCCAACCGACTATCTGCACTGCGTTTGGCGCAATGCGAGAAGTATCCATGCAGTCTTGTAGGCGCTAATATGCGTTTTCTGCTGACCGCACTGTTTGGCGCAATGCGTGAAGAATTCATACAGTCTTGCAGGCCCTAATATGCGTTTGACGCCGGCCGGACTGTGTTAAAATAATCGCGGCATTGAATAATCAGGCTTAATAGTCCCATTTTTTGTTTCGACGCCGTATGAGCATTCCAACGATGCATTATTTTTCCCGAATAATTCTTCTGAGAAAAGATTAGGAAAGTTCTCTATGTTCGCTTTTTTAGATTATATGGACCATTGAACAAAGCACGAGCTTAAACACTCGCTGATATATGATTATTCTTCAGAATTTTGAGTAGCACACGATTCGCACGACGAAAACTACGGAAATAAACTCCCAGCTAAGATATTCGTTTTTATCGTACATTGGTTACGGAAAATTTGAACTGCCCGGTCACAAAAACACATACGAGGTCTGTTAGATTAGAAACCGAATTTTGGTCATAACTAGCCCACAATGCGTCCGATTTCGGTTTTCTTGAGCTTTCCTGATAGCTGGAAATATACTTATGAACGCTACGTTCACAGATTTTGTTTATTTTGATCAGTGTTTATTCTGTGTCATCTTGAATACGAGTAAGTCAGGTGCGTTTTGCGATTTTAGCATGCGATCACTGACAGAGCAAAGATTCAACATTAAATTTTGTTTTAAACTCGGTATACCTTGTACCGAAACTTTTGGTATATGCTAAGAAAAGTTTACCATGATCATTGTATGAGATGTTCCCACTGTTTTGAATGGGTTAAACGATTCAAAACTGGTCAGGAGTTCGTTAAAGATGAGAAGCGTGGGAATCGACCCTCAACGGCGACTGACATTTGTCACGTGGAAGAAATGCGGGCAAAAGTGCTCGAAAATGGTCGTTTCGAGCTTGTTGAACAAAGTCATATTTCTGAAGGCTCTGTACATACAATTTTGATATAATATGTAGACACGCATCGAGTTTCAGGTACACTTGCCCCTTCATTGTTGTCCTTTGAACGAAAATCCAACCAAATGTCAAATTACCTTTAGCTGCTTGAACGTTCTAACAATGATCCTACATTTTTGGATAGGATAATTTTCGGTGACAATACTTTAGTGTACGGCTACGATATGGAGACGAAACTTCAATCGTCCTTGTGGGTTGAAAAATGTTGTGCAAGACCGAAAAAAGAGAGACAAGTTCGGTCAAACATAAAAATCGCAAAACACCCTTGAGGTTGCCTTACTTCAAGCCACATACCAACGAAGCTAATTAGGATTTTTCAAATTTGTGAACGTAGCGTTTTTAAATATATTTTCAGCTATCAGAAAAGCTCAAGAAAACGTAATTTGGACGCACTGTAGGCTAGTTATGACCAAAATCCGGTTTCTAATCTAACAGACCTCGTATATATCTATTATCAAACGGCTTTAGCAGACTACTAAATCGAGCATTGTTTCTTTCCCGCCCTGTCTTGTTCAAAGTGTGTACAGTTTCCTATTGCTGAGCCAAAGCGTCAAGACTGAGGTTGTCATATTTTCTTATTGCTGAGACCATCATAGTGACGTTTAGCGTGCAATTTAACCCAAGTAAATTATTCTCTCTTCCATGAGCGGAAATTTTGAATTGATCCATAAAATACGTTATTATCACACTTAGAAGTTAATCTAGGGTTAGGATTTCAAAATCCTCGTTGCCTATTGGTGTTTCACTTCTAACACACGCGTTCTGCTCACAGGTGTATCTCTCGCTTTTGACGTATCGTCCGCGGTGTGCACGATGTCCGAGTAGTTTACCCTGCAAGCCTGAGATCCTGCAATCCTAGGATCGAAGGATTGTAGAAATTTTCCTGCTTCTTGTTAACTCATTATAATTTCATTCATTGATCTAATTCTGAGCGAGCCAGATAAATTGGCCTTGAAAAAGGTAACCGCAAACTATACCTTTAAAAGTGTCAAAGAAAAACTGGTCTACTGTGGTATATTTTTTAATTTTATGACTACAAAATGGCAATGAAAAGTGAAATTTTTATAGACATTTTCTCGTTTTCAGTTTTCCCAACATAAATCATAAATTTTTTGTTTGAGCGTATCTGCTATTGTTTTGAATCAAACGATACATCGTACCACTATCTAATACGGTCTATACAGTTAGTTAGTTAGTTATTATAATTTTGAGACATTCAGCGACTCAGGCTATTAACGTCTTTACAGATAATTTTGAAAATAGGAGTATAAACGAAAATTTAGATTTTTAAATTAAGAGAGGTGAAGAGTTTTAGAATTTTGGTGGTAATATTAGGTTCATCGCATGTAAGAGGGTTTGAATTTCTGTTGATTGTAGGGGAGTAGATCTGTGATATACAGCGCGCCATGCATAAGGCGCGCTGCTGTATAGCGACCAATAGCGGAAAGTTCGATTATCATCCGTCTATGGGCGGGTGCTGAACGGTAACTTTGAAACAGTCGCATCAAAGGAGGAGGAATAAAGCAAGGGCGGGAGAGAGGGGGTGCTTAAAGAGAGTGGGTTCGCACCGGAGGGGGAGGGGGTTCAGCAAAGTCATTTGTCGATGTAAATTGTGTTGACTCTGAAAATGGAGAATTCGCCAGCATTCTGCAGCTTTTTCTGTTGCGACAACTTGTATTTACATTTGGGCTCAAGCCCGCACCCCTCTCCTCCGTGTAACCCCCCCTCCTCCTCCCGCACTCGCTTCCCATTTCGATTACGCCAAACTAAGAGATTATCGAACCCGTTGCTCAAGACTCTTGCCGTCTCGCAACTCACGCGCGTCCTTGAGCAATCGCTCGTGATCACTCGGTGCCTCGCCGCACAGTGGATCCAGTCAATTGGAGAGGTCAGGCATGAAATTTTTGACTAAAACTACAAATTTTGATTCGGAGTTCGTCATATTTTCAACTTTAAGGGATGCATCTTAAAGAAAATTTCACGGGAAAACCAATGAGACCACTTTCAGAACGTCAAAATTTTGCATGAATGGAGTTATACGCGTTTAAAGTCTCCAAATTCTGTCCGAGCTCTCCTATTGACTCGGTCCAGTGTTCGCCGAGTCTCAAAAAAGCTAACGAACGAGAATCAGGGTCGTTAACATCGGATACCTCTCGCGAGAATGGGGAGGACAGGCTCTTCGATATCGATTCGGCGTTTAAGGGTTTGAGAAATGTCCCTTTTTGCCCTCAAAAAAGGAGACATCAAGAGTCGACATAATGACTGACAGGTGATAGGTGACGTTGATGCTAACGCCTGGATGCAGCCATCCTCGATTCATGGAGATCTCTGCTGCGTTTTGACGGCCAAGATGCGAAATTACGTGCTTCCTTTGCGGTGTTTCAAAATTTCCGCTCCTACTTTAGTTTTTTGAGGAGCCAAGCTTACGGCTCATGAATATCAAGCCAAGTTCATGGCTTGACATCCATAAAGAACATTATACTGATAAAGAAGGAGAATCAAGGAAGTTTTCAAGAAATTACGGTGGCTAGTCTTCTTAAGAAAAAATACAGAATGACAGAAAGTTCACAAATTTGCAAACAGGGATGCGTTGTTTTGCACTTTGGCCATCGATACGCAAAAAAATGAAAGCATCGTGACTTTACTTTCCGCACGAGATTGCAATAAAGTGACATTTTAAGCATTTCATGCCATAATAACCGGAAAGGGGAACCGAAGCATCGATAGTTTGATTCAAATTTTGTGTAAAGAGTTAAGGTAGCTGTGAAAAACAAATAAACGAACGGAAAAAAAACCAATTTCAAGGAAAGGTTATGATGGCTCGCATATTGAGCTACCAACTGTCGGAATAATTGGAATAAAATATGCTCCGGATTCCAAGAATTGGCTGGAAGATACCAATAGGAGTATAATTCGCTGGATGAGAGCGGAATTCGGTTTCCAAAAAGGGAACTTTCCGCTTTTGATTCAGACACTATAGTTTTTTTTTTCTTTTTTAAGCAACGTTACATATGTACACGCTCCTTAGTAAAATGCATTTCCGTTTCAATTCATGGTCGGAGCTAGGATAGGGAGATATTACCTAAAGAAGTTGCGTAACCCCTCCCAGAAAATGCAAGAGATTTTGTTACATAAGCGGGTGACATATCTTGCATCAAAGCTCAGCTCAGAATTTCTCCTGAAATGACTCATTTGCAGTGGCGTGGCGTCAATTACGATATATCGATTGTTATATCATTTAAACCTATGGATAAGGATCGATAAACAGGGTGTTCGCAGCGAACACCTTAATAATCGATTCTTTACCAAAAGTTAAAATGGCATAAC